TCCCCCCTTCTCACCCTGAATTCGAGTTAACCGTGAGAAATTCGTTATCGGGAGTGAAAATTTCATTCGAGATATCCGGAAATTCGAGATAAGCGAATTCGAGTTAAACGGAGCATTTAACATGGTGTCCTACGGGGTTCCGCCGGGACCAAGCTTTGAACTTCGAGATAAGCAGAATTTCGACTTATCAGGATTCGAGTTAACGAGTTTTCACTGTATTTAAAAATTCCTCCCTTTCAAGGTTAACTAGGATGTGTCCATTGCGGGTCTTCTCACTTTTACTTTCAAGTGAATCTGTGTATCAAGATGCATGCTGGAGCAGGACAAGAGGTTTATTATTTGCCTGGTTTGGACTCTTCTTCACCGACAGAGGAGAACTTGAAAACTACAGTTTATTACAATCTAATTGTTCCTAAAAACCCTGTATGTTTCTCCTTTCTCTCCTGTAAAAGTTTTATTCTAGAGGGTGTCCATAAGGTCACGCACCAATGGGACAACATGGGTAATGTCATTTCCTTCCCTCTTTTACCAGGTGAGAAAACCCTAAAAATCCCTATTTGTTCAAAATGTTGTCCAATAAGTTTGAAGCAAGTCTGGATGCGATACACCCCTTGGCCATTCTAGGGGTTTCTCATCTGGAAAGAGATAAACTAATGAGATTACCCATATTGCTCTTGACATTAAAAATTATTTTAGGCTACATGGTCTTTGATTTTTAAGTTGAATCTAAAAATAAAGTACCTATAAAAGCATTGCAAATGAGTTTAGATAATTAAAACAGCTGTTTTTCTTTTCTTGCAATGACAGCCACTTAATGGGAACACAAGAAACGAGAACACCGCAGGGAACGGGATCCATCCTGAGAGGGCCGTAAGGCAAGAATGAAGAGCAGGGTGGTTGTCTTTTTTTTTTAGCGTATACTTTTAAAAATAAATATTCAACTGTTTTCTTTTCTACAACCCTGAGTTTTACTTTGTTAGCCAAGTCTGTGCCAAGCCTGCTCTAGTTCGTTCATTCCTCCGTTGACCCCTCCCACTTTATGTTTCCTCGTAAGGTAAAAGTTGTTTAAAATCTGGGAAGTAGAAAAAGAGAAAGAGGCATATTAGGATCCCTCTTTTCCCTGAATTTTAATGTATGGTAAAAAAAAAAATTGTATATTAACAAGGCATGGCTAAAACTTTTTATATGCAGAATGCTCTGTATAACGCCTGGATTTGCTTTCGAGTAACTTTTTTTTTTTACTAGGCAGCAAATTATGAACGTATGTCATACGAGGTATGCTATAATTTAGGAGATTAAAAATTTATTTCACTTCGAATGATCCACCCGGCACTCTCTTCCATGAATCCTGTAGTGCCAATACGAAGGCATAATGAACCCGGTCCGTTTAGTTTGTAGTGACACCACGAACGACCGATACCCTTTTTCATGTGGAATATTCGAGCAAAATATATCTGCTTCGAATGCTTCTAATTTGTCTGCCAGCTCTGCTCTGTTCCTTATGCGAGGGACTCGAAGGAAAGTTGAGATCGTCGCGTCTTCCGCCCGAGGCAAGTCGTCCCTAAAGAAATAATGATATATCTCTTCCCTTCTTCATTGCAATATGGAAGTACTCCTGTCGTTGAGGGATCCCTCGCCCGACAAGTTCCGCTGGAATCCGTCTTTTCTTAAGGGGCCTTTAACTGAAGGAGGTGTTAGAATTTGGTCCGTTGTTCTTCAAAGTTTTCGTTTCCTATTTCCATATATTTTTCAATGAAAATCTGCTTCTTGAAGAAAATGAAAAGCCTATTCTTCGTATTGAACACGGCAGGAAACTCCCAATCATAGATATCTATTCTTGCTCAGTCATATGTTGGATAATATAGAATGAGATGAAATTAATACACTGATGACAGTTTAAGTAAGCCAATAACATGCAAAGAATCGTTTCTAGGCAGAAAGTTGATAGGGTTTATTTTCCAAAACGACTACCTTCGTGATTGATCGAAACCATCACCCGTACAGAGGGGAAATATTCAGCAATCGAGGATCTTGAAGACTTGACGGAATCGATGACGTTATAGAAGGAAATATAAATATGTTACATATTAACAATTACTGATTTATTTCCTTCTTCCATATCGTTTATATCGTGAATGGTCTAAGTAACACCAACAGAGAGCTTCCATGTCTAAACAATAGGAATAGTACTAGGACTAGGACCCGATGGGAAACGAAAGTGAAGCCAGTTGCTCGAAAGTGAGGATCATACAGACACACGTGCTTCTGGCAAATTCGCAAATCCATTAGAAACGATCAGAGAGGGCAAAGTCATATCTAGCCATGCTGAGTTCCCTTTAAGGGGACTATTGTAGACTGGCGGAGTTCTCTAGGCAAGCTCTCCATTTAGGCTGGACTTCTTTCTCGTCTCTTCTTCAAGATCCAGGTCTCTCCCTGCCGGGCCGATCAGAGAAGAAGAAAGTGCAGCGTTTCTGGGAATGTTACGAATTCTTAATCGCGACCACTCTCGTATGAAGCAAGCATGAACTCACACGCGGGAACGGCTCCTCGCTTCGGCCCCACCGTTCCACGACGAGGCTTCCTCCAGCCGTACAAGAGGATGTCCACGATCCACTCCAGCAGCTCCAGGACGGAGATGAAAGACATCCCGGTGTAGAGGCCCAGCAAGCCCCCGAAAGTTCCGATGAAGGTCGACCACTGTTCCAAGAAAAAAGAAAGGGATGGCGGCTCGATTTCCAGCGGCGAAATCTGAGCAAGACCCGAAGAGACCCTCGGGGATTTCTCGACTCACGGGGTACAACTGAATCTCCGTGGTTTTCTCCACTGACATGGTCTCGTAGAAGACGTGCACCACAGCCACCTGCTCACTGAGAAATATGTTGATACGCAAACGGTTTCAGCTCCGTTTATTCGGTTCGGTTCGGCTCAAATATGAGGAGTTCCCTGGAAAAAGGGCTTAAGTGCCTACACACCCTTTTTCCATATTCGTATCCATGCGCTGTTTTAGGTGGATTGCCCTAGGATGGGGTTGTCAGCAGTTGGTTAAGATGTGTATTCAGCAAGGGGGAAGCAGATTTTCCTATTTTTTTAATTCATGGCAAGCCCACGGCCTGAGAATTGTAATATGGCTGCCTCCGTGAATATTCCATTAGCATCTGCCTCACTGAACGACTTCAGTGGAATAATTCCAAATTTTCGAACTGAAACTTGAAACCCCAAGTTCAATAGGAGAAAGCTCCAAGATACCATTCGACGGAAAATTGAGTTTTGACCAACTGCAGAAAATCAATGGGAAGTTTTTTTGCAGTTCATCTCAAACTGCATCTTTTGCACATATGCCCTTTTCCAAGAGAACTCCTCAATTCTAAGATATACGTATGCAAAACACAAAATTTCAAAGTGGTGTATGTGTCTCCCGCCCCCTTTTTACTTATTTATGAAAATACTACAACGAAAGCGCAAACCTGGGACGATGACAGAAAGTGGATTTCAACCGCCTCCTTTCCACGCTCTTCATCCAAGTCGCCAGCTTCATGATCAATCCGTCGTGAGGACCCATCCGCGACGACGAGAACGACCGCTCCAACCTCCTCTCCCTGTGAAACCACCAGCGAGCATCGTCACAGCCTTCGTCTCCGCGGAGGTCGAGGACGGACGACGGGGGGCGAGGCTCACACGCAGGGGTGAGGAGGACAAGCGCAGGATCTTTCCGCACGTTTCTCCGCCCGTTCCACGGCCGATCTAATTTCTTTTTCATCTGTGCTCCAGGAAGCAATACAAAAACGGTGAATTCGTGGGAATTGCGTGAAGCTCATATTGCAAATGATTACGTGAACGTTGGAGCCATTTTCCGATCGCTCCCTCTCTTGAACCCAGGAGAAAAAGAGGTACAAAGGCACATAAGCATATCGAAGATCACGTCCATGTCCTCACCCATATGGCATTCCCATTCATCGATTTCTTGAGTCATGTTGATTATTTCCAACGGCTGCAGAAACTCATAATATCCCGTATTGAACAAGCATTCGAACGAGCGATTGAAGTCACGCACCAACTGATCGGCAACGCAAAAGTGCAGACACCCCTGATACCAATCGGACGAAAAAAAAAAAGCGAATTACCAAGGAATAAATTTTCTTTTCGAAGGATGAGAAATTCCTTTTCATCGGCACAGAGAGCCTTCACCTCCTTGGAATACCCCGTCTCATTCGGGACCGAAAAGACGTCAGGGTCGAATCGCCGCAGCATGTAAGAATCGTCGGCGCAATCCCCCCCCAGGTCCGGAGGAATCCGCTCGAACTCCGCCATCTTCAGGCCGATGTAGGAAACCGTTCCCGGGTCGATGTTGAACCCTTCCTCCGCCGTGTAGGTCGGATCCTGAGGTTTCCGAACGATGACCCTGTGTCCCATCGCCGATGATATGCTGCCCGGGAAATACGACGCCAGGGCGAGTCGAAGCCCTTGCTGCTCAAAGTAAGAAAAAAAAATTAGGATCGATTCAATTTCGCTTCGATTTCACCCCAATTTCACCCCGACCGCCGGAAGACGTCCCTACCCAACCGGTCTTGTTCCCTCGAACCCCCGCGTACGAGTCCCGACGCCGGGCTTCTTTGTCCCTCCCGTAGTTGAAAGTGAGGCAGTCCCCGAGTTCTCCGTCCTCCTCTGGCGTGAAATCGCTGCAAGTATCAGAGCAGGCAGTAGTCGCGCAAGATTTAAACTGTAATGATGCACGTGGATTTCCGGTATCGTAGGTGTACGCTGCTTTGCTGCTGGATTAAAATCGTCGCCTCTCTTCCCTTTCATCGTGTACAACGACTTCGCCAAAAAATATTTTTTCAAACGGCAAAACCGACGGAAAAAAAAAATCGCCGAGTCTCCCTCGGCACGTCGTCATATCCAAGTGGCCGAACTCATCGGCAAATCAACGAGTTCATCCACAGCAAATGCTATCGCAATCCAGAGCTCCTCTTTTGGCGACCGGGAGCATCTGCGACGGTTAAATATTGATTCCCGCGAGGCGAGGGCGAGATCGTGCTCACTTCTCGCTGCAAGGCTCCTCGTTGAAGCTGCAATGGAGGATCCTGATGTCGAATTCCGTGTAGGAAAAATCATCCAAGATGTACTTGTTCGAGCCGAGACTCATCTCCATGCTGGAGATGCTTTCTTCCAAGGACTGCAACTTATCACCTGAGGAGAGAAACGTGAAGCCGATTCGAACGGGTGTCGAGGGTCCCCCTTCTCCGTTCGCGTGATCGCCATCGCGTTTCGATGAGACGTGCGAATGTGCGACGTGAAGCCGTTTACCTTTTGCAGATGCGAAGGGTGCGGCGCAGATTCCCTTCGACCTGCGAAATCTTTCGAGAAGCTCCGGATCCTCAGAAGCTGCCGTTTCCGGTTGGGGTGCGTCGTCTGACGTCGACAGTCGTTGAAACGCATCGATGAATTCGCTACTCAGCTGTATGATGCCTTCTACCGGTGAGAAGAGCCCCGAAAATTCCATTCCACCGATGGACCGATACGTTTGAGGGCAGATGGTGACGCCGGGGAACGGAATCGTTTCTCGCGACTCCATCTAAACGAGGAAACGGCGTCGGACCTCGATGACGTCGCACTTCTGGGCTCGGAGGCGACGAGATGCACCGACGTCGCTCTACCTGGATGGAGGTCGTCGTTTGGCCGGACGTGTACGCTCTGACGATCTCGCCGATTCCGTAGGACATGTAGCCAGAGGCGGTGAGAAACACGAGGAGCCAGAAGAGTTTTCTGAAGAGAGAGGATTCCGGGTACGCGGAACGACCCAGGGCCTGAGCAGAGATGAGAGAAAGTTATGGGTGCTCTTCCATGTTTCGATATAAAATTTGTCTTGTTTTTCGATGCCTCCTCGTTTTAGCAGGAGTAAAAAATTAAATACTGGGACCAGATCCTGCGACGTGCAAAAACCAACGATCATTCTTCGTAATTGTGCTGAACACGTAAATTCGTATCGTTCCTGGCAATCAGGGATGGACGTCGCGATATTTCGTATCGTGACACTGCCGACAACCGAGGGAAAAGTGCGATAACTCATGCGGACCTGGTGGTCATCGACCGATTTTCGTACGACATCGGTGACCTACAGCACGCGATCGACTTTCTTCGCAACTTCCAAAAAAAGTTTCATTTCGGGGATTAGGATTCGTTATAGAACGCGAAGGGTGGAGCAACGCGGGAGACAGACTTCAAGATGAAACGCTTCTGCGATGGACGAGCATATTTACCTAGTACAAAATCATTCGGAAAACTGGAAACTCGGGTGTATCTAATGGATAAACTCGGTTTTGTGTGCGTGAAACGAGCACCGCCGCCGCTGGCCAGGCGTTCTCTCGCGCTCCGACGCGAGTGACGTCCGCGTCCGCGTCCAGAACGTCGACGGGGACGGGAGGGATTGCCTTGCGTTCTCCTTTGGGCTGCGTCTCCCTTGCGAGGATGCGGTGGAGGCGTCGCTGGGGCGGGCCGAGACCGATTCCCTTGGTGGAGTCGGGTTAGTTTGCTCTCGTTTGAAATGGCGTTTGTGTGGAGTTGGTCGTGTGTGCAGCATGGAAATGAAGAGTCATTCTTGGATACTCGTTTCGTGATTATGAACGCAACGAAACACAGTCGTGATTAAGAGCGCCTGGCAATAAATTGGAAGAACGAGGTGCTTGAGGGGAAATGCTTCCGAGACTCGATGGGGATTTTTTTTTTTTTTTCGAAGCATCGTGAATTCTCGTACCTGTCGATGGACTCGGCAGGTGCCCCCCCCCCCCCCCCCCCCCCCTCCTTTAGTCGTCCTCGACAGTCCAGGAACTCCGTTAATTCCTGTCTCGACAGACAGGAATTAACGGAGAGACAAAGTAGGCTGTCTCCCACGAGATGAGCAATGATCCCTGTTTTGTTTCCAATGAGTTCTTGGCGTTCCAAGATGACGACTCCACCTTTAAGACGTGTCGAACTTTCATCGACTTCCGGTTTCGTAAACGTGTAAGGCGATCGCGGAAACTCAAGTGATTCTTGCCGAAGGCACAAAGGTAGTTCATCGATTGAGTCAACTCGGCCGCCGTTGCCTTGGCCTTTGTGCCCGAGTTTGCCCTCGTGTCAGGGGGATTTTCTCAAGCGCTTCCAGCGTCATCGTGGATTTACCGGGTATGAAATAATGATCACGAGACGGTAGGGAAGACATCCTTTCATTCGCCCTTTCGTCCTTTCAAGGCGGTTGTAGCGAAGAAACAAAAGGTGGCCAGAGATCTGAAGTCTGCGTGAAGTAAAGTCCCGTCAAGTCCCGCTCTGCTCGTAAAAATTGGTAATTATTTATTGTCACGATTTCGGGTCGTGGCAGAGGATTAAGAGAGATTAACGCTCGCAACGCGTTCGGACGAACATCGACATTCGCATCCGGTTATTCGTATTCGAATACGAGTACAAACTTAAAATCAATTTTCTTACCCAAACGTTCCCCAAATATTTCATTAAATGGAGGACAGAGCAGACGCTGACCGTTTCCTTCCAACGAACTGGATCTCCGCTGGTCTTCCCCCTCGCTCCTGGATCTCCGCTGGTCTTCCACTCGCTCCTGGATCTCCGCTGGTCTTCCACTCGCTCCTGGATCTCCGCTGGTCTTCCCCTAGCTCCGTCATCGATCCCTCCGAAAGTAATCCCATACATTTCAAGTATCAGTTGCAGACTTGTCAGCAGACTCTATATGGTTTGTTCGCATATTCTTTCAGGCTTCGAGCATTAAAACTCCCAATTTTAATCAATTCGAATCTATCTGACCCAGCTACCTGGTTATACGAAGTCATTGGGCCTCATCATCTTCATCGATCGAAAACAACAATCCTCGGGAAGGTGGACTCGGCCCTGCTCTTTGTCGTCGAATACAGTCGCCGTTCCATCATTTCCACGTGCACTATGTACATTTGCACGCGGATGCTACCTTTGATGACATTTAGGAACGAGGTCTCCTTGTGTCGAGACAGGAATAGACGGGAAGACTAAGAAGCCTTCTGGCAAAGGAAGGCCACAAAGAAGCCTTCCAGCAAAAGAAGGCCACAAAGAGGCCTTCTAGCAAAAGGTGACATGCAATCGCTGCTTCGTTTCCAACGAGACCTGGGCGTTCCAAGACGGCGACCCCAACAGTTGGAATTCCTATCCCGGTTCGCAAATGCATGCCCATCGTGGGAATGCAAATGAGTCGAAACACGAAGGGGCAAAGGCGGTTCAAAGGTGGTTCATCGATCGAATCCACACTCTGATCGACATGAACCTTCGCGTGGCATTGTTTTGCCCGCGTGTCGAGGGTATCCTAGAGCGCTTCCGGCGTCATCGTGTGTTTATTACGAATGAAATTATAATTATAAGACTTTGGTGGAAACTGAGATTAGACGGTAAATGTAAAGACATTCGTTATCTGAAAAAAAAGAGCTATTTTGTTTGGGCCTCAATGCATTGAATGTCTTCTGGATTGAGCTACATTGCAGCATGAATATATTCTACCTGAAAATAAATTGTTGTATTTAATTATGACTGTCTTTTTAAAATTATCTATGACCTTTATTTACAAGACATGCCCTTTACAGAAAGTCAGAGTGAGGTGAGGTGGGATATACATTGAAGAGTAATGAGGAGTCATTTAGCAAGATACTTTCACGTGAAGAATCTGAAGGCGAGATACGTGAGGTAGAAATGCAGTTTTCAGGATTCGCACAAAGGAAATCTCAGTATTTGGCGCGGAAAGCAACGATTTTAGAACACGATGCACACTCGTTCTCAATAGGCAGTAAGCCTTGACCTTGAGAAATACGAAATAAAGTAGGGGGAGCCATATTGGACTCGAATCTGCAGACGTATAAATATTTTCAGAGGGCGAAGACCTCGAGAGATGGATCACATGAATCATCGTACCAGCCATACCTTATAGTACATTAGCTTTCAAGCTCTCTTGAGAGCTTGAAAGTATTCTACAGAGACCACTAAAGGTTGGGTGGCCAAACTTCCTGACCTGACAAGCCAAAATCTTCATTGGCCGAGAGCCACAAGACATGCATTACATCGAACGGCCAAGGAGCACATACGACTTTCTAGCCACAGTTTACCACCCCTGGTCTATTCTCTGGGTGCACTAACACTGGATGGCGCTTTTTAAATATGGCGGCGCCCATGG